AGTTGCCAAAGTTGAGAAACACCGATCTAGATCTTACACATCTTAAAACAAGCAAAATTGTTATTTCAAGATGGCACGCTTCTTTCGAGCACGAGAAATATATACTGCCTTGATTTATTTATTTTTTTTAAAGTGAAGAACAGATGATTAGTATGCCATTGGCTGGCCAAGAAAAGTGCTGTCCAGCTTATTGTCTTTCTCCAACCAGTCATTTGGTCTGTGCCAATGTTCTAGGCAACATTAGCACTAGTGGGAAAAGAGGAGTCATATTGAAAGGGCTTGAATGGAGTTTAAAATCATGACATTCTTCGGTAACCATGCTTATGAATCCCATTAACGAGATTCAAGTGTAATAGGAAATCTAAGTGCTCCACAGAAATTCCACCACCCTGGCAACAATTCTTTCTCTAACTGTGTAGGCAGTGAGGTTTTGAGATGCCAGTGCAAAGCTAGTCTGCAGTTAACTTAAATTGCCTTTGTCTCTTTTTTTTCAGCTGACATTATCTCAACAGTAGAATTCAACCACACAGGAGAATTACTAGCGACAGGGGACAAGGGGGGTCGTGTTGTAATATTTCAACGTGAGCAGGAGGTAAGTGCTGGTGAATGCAAAAATGCCCATTTTTATCCTTTTAAAAGAAGCTTCCTGCTGCTTCCTAATCTTTGTGTGTCACTCTTTACCCTGCTTCTATCGTAGCACATGGAAAATTGCAAAAAAAAAGGCCATTAAGATCAATCGGCTAGCTTCTGTCTCAAAGAGCACCCTACAAATGTTGGATTTTCTTGAATCCTTTTGCATCTTGGAACAATAATTGCCGGCGGAGAATTTCACTCTGCTGCTGAAGCCTCATAAATGCGGGGAGAACTTTATTTGTGCAGTCAAATAATGCTTTTGAAGTCTGGTTTGTTTTTAATTAGCAGGACCCCTACCTTTCCCAAACTGGTATAACATAATGAAGCCATCATATACCAAGCTTCATTGTGATTTATGCTGATGCAGAGCTCTATGCTCCTGTATGATGTTCTTGATCTATGCCAATGGATAAGAAAAAATACACATCGAAATAAAATAAAACAGGTTTAATAAGCTTTTCCATATTAGTAAATATTATATTGGGAGCTCAGTACTGCCAATGATTACTGTTTGATTGGTGTAGTGGTTAAGGTGCTAGACTAGAAACCAGGAGACCACAATTTTTAGTTCTACCTTAGGCACTGTTTTACAGATACAAACCAGCTTTCTGATTTGGGTATGGCCAGATATTACCATTCAGAAGGGCTTCAGTAGCATGTTCTGCTCCTTTCAAAATAAAATCAGATTTGAGTCATTTGGTTCACTTTACTACTATATTACTATTACTCTATTATTTATTTAAGCCTTTAACATATACAAAGTGCAAAGTAAGAAAAAACAGCTATAGAGTAAAAAACATAGAAAGTTTTTTTAGTGTTGTTTTCTCCCCTTCCCTTCTATTTATTTCCCGACTGTAATTATTTGTAGTTTACAATGAATATAGAGGGGTTTTGCTAATACAGGTAGTCCCCAGTTTAAGAACGAGTTCCATTCCCAAGGTCTGTCCTTAAGTTGAATTTGTACGTAAGCTGGAACAGTATTACTGTATAATACTGTATAAGTAGTATTGCATACTGAACTCGAACCATTGTGTATTTAACTTGAATTTTGCTTCAATAGACTCTGTTCTTAATGGGGTTTTCTATAAACCGGGCGTTCTTAACCCAGGGACGTAGTCCCCAGTTTAAGAACGAGTTCCATTCCCAAGGTCTGTCCTTAAGTTGAATTTGTACGTAAGCTGGAACAGTATTACTGTATAATACTGTATAAGTAGTATTGCATACTGAACTCGAACCATTGTGTATTTAACTTGAATTTTGCTACAATAGACTCTGTTCTTAATGGGGTTTTCTATAAACCGGGCGTTCTTAACCCAGGGACTATCTGTATCTGTTTCAATCTTTTCATCTATTATTTTTTATTGGTCTCAACTTTTTTCCTAGAAACCATATTCTAGATATCTAAGATTGCCTTGCTATGTGAAATTATTTATTGTGTTAAGCATATGTAGGTCTCTAAATTAAACCTGTGTACTTTCTGTTGATCTGCGTGGAGAGAATTTTGTACGTAAGCCAAGTAGGATTTGCTCTTTGATTTGAGCAATAATTGCTTCATGCCAATTTGTCTTTAAGTTGAATGCTAGGGAGATCTTCATGCATTCTTGAGTCAAGATGGAACAAAGGTGCTCTTCCTGCTTCCTGTCACTGGTGTACATAGAAAGTGACACAGGAGGAGAAGGCATTGTGCAAGAAATATCTCTGCTTTGGTACCTAAACTGCAGTGTGTCACCATAATCAGACATTTCCCTCTCCTTTAACAATCTTCAGAGAACAAAAGAATCTACTGAAGATTTGCTAGCTCTGGCGTTTCTAAGAATCCCTTTATTGTTTCTTTCCCACTCCTGCAGAGCAAAAATCAGCCCCATCGCAGGGGAGAATATAATGTTTACAGCACATTCCAGAGCCATGAACCTGAGTTCGATTACCTGAAGAGCTTAGAGATAGAGGAGAAGATCAATAAAATACGATGGCTCCCACAGCAAAATGCAGCCTATTTCCTTCTCTCCACCAATGGTATGTTATAACAACAGGTAATTTTTTGCTTTCCAGCCAAAAATATCCTGCTTTGATAGGCTGCGATCATTCATACTTGTGATTACAGGACAAGTATTTATTGTTCTATCTAATCCATATAGAGCAACACACAGCAATTATGGTAGAAGTATCCCTAATATTGAATTTTCTCTCTTCCTTTCTGTATTATGTCTGAAAATGCCCCGTGCATATTCAGCCTTGTCTTTCTCCATATGATTTACCAGGTAAGAAAGGCAGAGCTGCACAACCTCAGGCAGCTTCCTCAGCCTGGTATTTTCAGATGTGTTGTGTGTAATTCCACAATCTTGGATTACTAGTCCCAGCACTTCTGGACAACACTGGACAGGAAAAGGCTTCTACAGTAGATGAGAACCTGAGAATCTGGCAGGCTGCATTTTCTCAAGTTGCCTGTAACAAGTTGTTCTGCTCTTAGAGGGACAAAATCAGATGGAATTAGGACCTTTTTTCCCCCTCGTGATGCATTCTTTGAAATTTAGTTTCTTGTATTTATTCACCACTTAATGTGCAAAACACGTGTCATCTGCAATGTATAGTATACTGGAGAAACTCTCTGAGTATACAGTACATTTTTTTCAGCAAAATTATATACAATCTCAGGTTTTATTGCAAGGTAAATACATAATCCTGAGATGAAAGGGAAAACAAGGGCTGTGAAGTACTTTGCATTTGAAGGCAAAAAGGTGCTTTGGAGCATTGGGGGTGCAAACATAGCACCTGTTTGCAACTCCTTAAAGCAGCTGTTGAACAATCCCAGGAGAAAACACATGTGATTGATGTGGTTGCAGAAAAATACTTTCTTTCTGACCCAGGCCCTTGGAAGCATTGAATCCAAAGTATAACTGCCTGTCTGTATAAAATAATTTTAAAGCAAGTTGTAGAAGCTTTTAAAAAACCCAAGTTCCTGAACATTTTATAGAATTCCATTTAAAGTTCCAAGGAGGGGGAGAAGAGGAAATGCCAGCTATCTTAAGCCAAATGGACCAAGACTTTTAATTTTACCTCCTTTAATTAATTAGTTGGTTGGTTAGTTCAGTAGTTTTCTGTCCTTCCTCTCTCCAGTATGGGAGCACACACACACATACATATACATACATACTCATACATGCATACTACATACACATATATAAATTATTTGTGCAACAAAACTAAGGCTTCTAGTTTGTTGGCTCATTATATGAGATTGAGCTTTTATGTCTTGATGCTAGATGCTAATATAGCGCTAGAGATAAAATATTGGTATTTTCTCAACTAGAAAAAGTTATGAAAATAGTGAGAAGAGATCTTTAAAAAAAAGTTAAATTGACTTTGGCAATTAAAGAAAAATAACAATTTTAAGAAAATTTTAATTCCTAGTATGTACTTTTAATTAGAAGGAACAAAATTCTGAGTATGCCATTTTCTAGTGTTACCTTGTGACATATATTCTTTCCATTGTCAATTTGAAAACAGGTCTTTGTTATTCTTAATGGTCACTAAATTACACAGATTCATCTAAGAACTGTACATTGTCTACTGTACATCTAATAAAAAATAATATAACAAAATGGGCCTGATCAACAATAGAGATCTCTTTAAGATAAGAGAAACAATTTTGATTTTAAAATGTGAGTGCAGATGCTATTTTTATAGGATAAAAATGGAAAATTATAGGTGGGTTTGCCAGTAACCTGGGAAAAAAAAATCTTCAACAGCAGAAAAGTGCTGATCAGTCTGTTCCTAAATATGAATCTTTCTAGCCACTCTATTCTGAGCCCTCAGTACATGGTCAATTTATTACATTACAGTGATTGGAGACAACTTGTCTTTGATAGCTCTAATGTAAGAAAATCACTCACACACTCTAATTTTGTCTTGATTCGGTTTCCAATTCCATCAGGATTAATATACCTAATACAGTGACTGTAACATGTAAGGTTTTTTGATCTCTTTATTGTGCTGGAAAGACCATGGCAGAATTATCTTCTTCTGTTATATGTGTGTGTGTGCGTGTGTGCATGTTGTGTTCCAGTTTTCATTTCCTAAGCATAAACTTATGCTTCATGTTATGTTCACATAACTGTCATGAGAATCCAGTGATGTTATCAGGATGGATGAAGCTTTAAGATGAATGTGACTTAATTACTCCAGAGGAAAAAGAGTCTAATTATCTTTCATCGTCAACTTACTTTGTGTTGGAGAATTTACCCTATTGATCATTGTAATAAAATTCTGAGAGTTATTAAACTCATTTGAGGGGAAGACTCACTGAAACACAATGAAGATTAATTACGTAGCCTAATGTTCTGTTAATTGAGTTTTTAAATAGTTTTTTTGATTCATAGGAGAATTAGTTTGCTGTTCCAGAAAGTGTTTTCATATGCTGGGAAGACCTCCAAATAGCTTAGATGTTACCCCTATCAATTGTCTCTAAATATTCTTATATATTCCTTCCAAAAACACAATATGTGGAAATCTACTTATATCAAGATGAATTAATACAACAAAATCTATGGGAGTCAACTGCAGTCCTTAGGAGAAAAATGGGATAGGAGAAATGAAGATGAATAAGATTGTCTTTAAAACTTGTGGGAACAATGACAAACTGCTGGTAGAATACCCATCAGGAGGGAGAAACGAAAACACCATTATTCAGAATAAAACCCAAATGTTCCTGAGGCTCTTTTTCCTACAGGACCTCATGGCACACAATAAACAGAATGACAGCAAAATGATGAAGCCAAAGGAAATATCCACCTTCCAGGCAAGCTGGCAATTGTGGAATTTAACATGGATTCACCGTCAATGATAAAATGTCAGTTTTTATTGCTTTCACTGGGAGGTGGCAGTTGAAACTGACTTTTGAGTAAATTACCAATATGATTGGGCTCCTTTTTCGTGCATATGTTGTTACCCTTTGCACTTGTAGTGTAATATGTTGCAATCAAAGCTTGGCTAAAACAGTTAGACCTCATGTAACTCTAAATTGCTTTTATGAAGTATTGTGTGTGCTGCCTTTCTTGTCTAAATTGTTCCCTCCTCTTAGACCAAAGTAAAATTAATTTAGCTTGACATATCCAGTGTGCAGGGTGTTCAATTTTAGCACCCAGTGTTAAGTGTGCTAAAGTGTTTTTCATGCAGACACTTGAACCTATGTTTGCAGTCTGTGACTTCAAAACTTTATCTGAAATATTCAGAAATGAGATAAGAGGAGGAAGCAGGCTGTGAATATTTTTGCCAAATGTCAGGTATCACTGGAAGTGACTTCAGAAGGGCTTTGGGAGGTCACAGAAGTGGCTTTCAAGGGATATATGCAGCTTAATGGGTATACTTTGCCTTCTCTTGATCTGTATGGTTCAGCATTTTTTTTTCTGTTTTAACCAATATGTGATGATGGGACAATCTGTAAATGGGACATGAATGCCACAGAACCTGAACAATGTTAGGATTTCAGTATGCACCGTCTTAGTTTAGAGAGAGTCTCTTACCGGTCCTTTTTGTTCTAACCAGGCTAAATTGCAAACATAGTCACCACTCTTTTGAATCCTAACTCTAGATCATTTTAACACATTAAAAAGGACCAATCCCAGTATATATCTTTGGAAGGTCCTACTATTTACATCTCCATTGTAAGAACTCATCATTTGTCTGAGCAAGTAGACTTGCTGAAGCTACTTGAAGAGATCTTGGGCTTCAGCCTCATAAGGATAGATTAGTTAATGCAATCCAATAGATCAATGTTTCTCAATCTTTGCAACTTTAAGATGTGTGGACTTCAATTCCCAGAATTCCCCCCAGCAGACTGGCAGGGGAATTCTGGGGATTAAAGACCATACAGCTTTAAATTACCAGGGTTGAAAAACACTGCAATAGATGAAGGTTCAATTTTACATTTCTCATTTTCCCATAGTCATAGATTCTCGAGACTCTTCAGCTGCCTTCTCCCATGTAGAAATGGTAGCAGTGATAAAGTAACTTTAAAAAAGGTCACTGTTGATGAACTGTGAAAGTGATAAGTAACAATAAATCTTAACTATTATTAAATGCATAGTAACTCAGTAAATCAATGAAGCATTCTGATTTTCTTCCAGATAAAACTGTGAAACTATGGAAAGTCAGTGAACGAGATAAAAGACCAGAGGGCTACAATCTCAAAGATGAAGATGGACGGCTCCGAGACCCCTCCACAATTACCACACTACGGGTATAGCAAATAAGACTTTCCTACTTTCTTCCTGCCAAAAGACAGACTTCTAACATTTTACTCCTGGTTGTATGGATCAATGATATCTGATTGGATTTAGTCCCATGTTTTAGCTGCCAAGGCTTTCTTCTATTTGGACGTAGCAGTTGATGTCACTTGACACTGATGTCACTCTCTATCATTCCTGGCTGGCTCAGAGTAAAGGTGGCTTTAGTTGTGTAATAACTGCCTGTTTGAGGTGCTGAGGTACTTTACCTTGGGAAAACGTCTGTTTTGAAACGCAGCATTTAAATCCTTAAAAGAGGACATAAAAACACTCGCACTCCATTTGATGTACTTGTTTTACTCCAACAGAAATATCAGGCTTGGCTACACATAATAAAAGAATCTGTGTAAGTGGGAGCATTTTCCAGCTCATTAAGATGAAGAGAGTGTCATTTATTGCTAGGATGAACAATTTGTTTGCTATAGTTCCTGAACACTCAAGAGATTTGAGTGGCCTGTTTTAGATGTCAGCAACTGACCCATAGATGTCCATGGGGGAGGGCAAGCAACTGTTGTCATGTGTGTCAAGACATCATCACACAAATGGCATCAGGACACATTTGACATCATTTTGATGTCTCCAAGGCTTCAAATGGATGCCTTACATGGCACAAGTAAAGCTACTTGAACAGCATTTTATCTCTTATTTTGAAGGAAGTAGCATCAGATGTGGTAGTTTTCTTTGCTTATTCAAATTCCATTAGACTTAAAGGTATCACCCAATAGCGTACCCTTCGGTGTCCAATCAATGGAGTTGTTGCATTGTTTTTCTTTTGAAGTGTTTTTCAGAATGGTATTTGTAGTGAAGAAATATCCATACTGAGGCCCGGATGCTTTCTTGCTTGGGTTCTGAAGCTTCAATGGTAGTTTGGTCCTTACGTTCAAAAAGCACAAGCTTCATATGTTGGAACTTCTGGATGGGTGCTGAGTGTCCTATCAATGGCAGACAAAGCTTTTCATTATTGTTCAGAATTTTGTGAGATGAACTACCTTTGCTCTTTCCCTCCCACTGTATAAAATGGTTGTCTTAATATTATCATTAATCTAATCTATAGTAATATGGTTGTTCAGTATTAATTTTGAACAGTTTTAAACATAGTGGCTGTAATTACTCTGGCACAAATTTATAGCTTCTGGTTTCATTAGTACCAGGCCAGGAAGGGCATTTAATAACTCCAGACAGCTAATTAATTCTAACTAAGAAACAAATGCCTTCCACATTGCATTGTCCCTTCTTGCTAGTAGGCACATTGTTCAAGGCTGAGAAAATGCATTCACTTTTCTGTACCTTTGTTGTCATTTTGGGTACATCATTTAGAAGTCTGCATTTTGGGTACAAGCCTGCATTTGGGTACATCATTTAGAAACCTGCCCTGAGAGAACCTTTTAAAATAATTTCTCAGAGTTCCTCTGTGTTAGATTGGTTTATGTCAGTAGAGCAGCCCACTCTTATCTTGATATATTTTCCTTAAAATTGCTGTCAAATAGATGTTAATCAGTGTAGCTTCCCTCCATATCTTAGGACATTAGAGAGACATGGCTTGAGTGTTAAGAGAGAGCTTGCATCTTGCTGTTTTTCAGGATCCAGGCAGAAATTCTCCGAATGACAAAGGTTCTGGTGGCGCTATTGTAGTGCCCAGAAATGGCACCTCATAGTGAAATCTTCCATTAATGGTTTAAACCAGTGTTTCTCAACTCCCAAAATCCCCCAGCACTGTTGAAAATTAGTAGCCAGTGCTTTTGCTTATCATTCATTCCTTATTGTATTTCTTACCGAGGGTTAGTGTAATCCATAATCAAAATAAGCATATACAAGACTCTTATTTTTATATTACAATATTATGTAGGAAGTCTCCATTCTAAGGAGGGATTTGGAGAAATGATTACACAGTCCAGAGATTGAAGCAAGCATGAGAAAGAAGGTCAAAATAACCCTACCTTGATGTTGTTTAGTATAAGAAGCAGCAAAAGGAAACTCTGGCAGGCTTTCAGGATACCTACAACAATAAATTAACACTCCTGGAATCCCTGCAGTGGGCTGTTTTCAAGGGCTGACAGAGGACAAGCATATTGTCATCTCACTAGATAGACCAGACCAGGAAATCGATTCCACAGGAAGACTAAAATGACTTTTACTGATATTGGCTATTATAACAGAATCTGGCAAGTCTGATTATGCTGTACCTCCCCGCCCCCCGCTTCTTATACCTCAGTGAGTCATTGGGATATAAGAAGCCACTTCCAAATATTATCTCCTTTCTCAGGGCTTAAAGAATGTTTGCCTAGATAACAGTTCTTGCATATTTCTGTCAAAGTCATATTCCTTATTCTCTATACATATGGAGTGTTGAGCAATAAAAATGATAGTGAGATTAGAGGGAAATGAAATGTCAAATATACAAACTGTGATAATTACACTGAAGTATGGGTCCTCACTGTGTTCACCCTAAGGCTCCAAGGTGCATAACAGATATCTCCCTTGGGGCCTGCTATGTTCCATGTTCCCCATAACTTAATTTTATTATTAAAATAAAATTAAATGAGCTACTCTTTTAAATTAAATGAAGGGTCTCCTAAATTAAATGAAGAGTGAGGCTGCTGTAAAGCAAAGTGCCAACCTGTAGCGCAAAGTTTACGTTCATGAGGATTCTGGGTCCCATGTATACCGAGGTCATATTTTTAGACCATTAAAATAGTAGAGTGCCACAACCCAGGGTTCAAATTGGAAGTGTGTTCACTTGCCCAGGGAGAAAAAAAAACAAACCAAAAACCAAAAGTAATCTTAATGATAAAGAGGATCCTGGGAGGCCAGAAAGGATGGTGGGAAGCAACCTCACATATTTGCTTTCTGATAGATGAGTGTTTTGTTATTTGCCAGGCCCATCGTGGCAGCAATTTTCTGTAATATGCTTCCAAATGTGAGCCCAGCCGCAAAATATGCAGCAAAGTCCAACTTCATATAAAAAGTACAGTCCAAGGTGTCTGCGGGTCAAAAGAATCAGGATGCAGCCACAATTGCACGATTGGAGGCTCGCCCCTTCTTTTGACATGTGTTGCACTTCTGTTCACAGCAGAATCTTTCTGTTAAGTTTCGTAATAATAAATCAATAAGCCATGGGTGACCGAATTGAACTGCTTGATCTGGAGCCAGGATAACATTCACACGTCTGATAAATTTTCTGCAGCTGCCTAATACAACTACCTACCTGGTAGTTTAGAGCTTTAGTGATGCATATAATACTGTTAAACATAATACAATCCCATCATAATCCAAGTGGCATTTACTGTTTGCATTTTTGTCTCCAAATGCAGATTTTGCAAAAAGTTGCTGTAATTTCTTTACATTTGTAGCAGGCAACCTTCAGGGGATACATAACCTCTACATTAAAGCACTTTCAAGAAGCAGCATACTTTCTAAATGCCAAATTTGATTGTGCTTATTATGTAGCACAGGTAATGTCATCAGGGTGTACATGTAAGAGCTCTGGGTGTCTTTAAGGAAATTATAGATTCCCATTCTGAGACTTGCTAAAAGTGATAAATAGTTAAGCTTGTTTTATTACTTCACTACTGCCTTTTTATCTGAAGGTGACAGTATTATAGAGAAGTCATCTTCCTCAGAGATCAGCAACAGCATAAGAGTTTTTCTGATCAAATACCTTGCTTTTTTGCAATAACCTCTTACTTGCTTTTGTTGATAATTCCCATCCATTTTCAAATCTTTGCTTTTCCCCAAAGACTTCCACGAAAATAAAGATTTCATTATTTAGGATGAATAAGGAGAGTGCAATTAGGTTGAGGTTCATGAGTCGATTTTTGATATCAAAAGCAGGCCTATACACCATAATTTCAGTAGTTTAGAAACACCTCAAACTTGACATGTTTATCTGGATGACTTGATGGAAAAATATACATGTTTGTCTAGTTCCCATGAAATGGGGAAGTGCATATTGTTATTAGGGAATCATCACGTGAGCCAGTTTTATGAGCCATAAAACAGTGAAAAAACTAACTCCTTGTTCAAAAACAGCAAAACAATATTCTGAGAAATAAATAGCTATAATAAAATTGTTGTATTTTTATATGAAATTTTGGTGCAGTTGGTTTTGGAATATAAGCTTATAATCCTGTCACCTAAAGGGAGGGAAGGAAAGTGAAAAAAAAACCCTGCTGGGGTAACTGTTTTTCTATTCCCAATAATGGGTTTTAATCTAAACTTCCTTCTCATTGTTACCAGCTGGAAGAGAAAAAAAATGTAAAGCTAGGTTGTCTAAGCAACAGATTGACTTTTAAGACTCGCAGAAGAACAAAAGCATCTTAGAAGGACATCATATCCTGAACTTGGAGTGTACTGTTTCTGAGCCCACTGCCAGTGAGAGCATCAGTAGCAATACATTTACTGTATATTTGTAAAAACTGGACCTGGTCTCCAGGCTGAAAACTCTTATTTTCTTCTTGTTAAGATTCCTCTGTTCACTGGGCATAAATCCCATTGAGCTCAGAGGAGTGATCCTGAGCAGGGACGCATGGGAGTACCCTGCAAGGAGAGGGACATACTGTAGTGCAAATGTATGACAGATGAATGATTGTGAAGAGGATGAGTAGATATAGCAAAGTATACAATAATATCTGCCTTGCAAAAATTAAAACCATTACATGCAAAATCCCCAACTTATTATTTTGTTTAACTTAAAAGTGCGGGAAAATAGGGAGTGCCTAGTGGGGAAAAAAATGTCTTCCTCTTTACCTGGAAGAGTGGATTAGGTAGGCATCTTTCCTATGCAGATCTTCTGCATAGGAGTTTGGGAGCTCCTATTTGGGAATTCCTTGTTAACCAAAAGGGGGAAACACTGATGAGCACAGTAAAAAATTCAAATCTGCAAGGTTTATAAATCATTTTCAGCAATGTCCCTTTTTGTTTTCTTAAATATCTAGCTTTGATAAATCTGAAAGTT